ATATATATATATATATATATATATATATATATATATATATATATATATATATATATATATATATATATATATATATATATATATATATATACATATGTATATAGACCAGGATGGGCTTACAGTGGATGAATACTAGTTCTGTCCTGGGCCCAATAATGGTTGCTTTAGTAACCCAGTGCTCACTGAGAGGATCTGAGAAGCTAATAATACTGAGAAGCTAATAATGTGTATAATGCTGCAGAGAATATCTCATATCCTGTAGTCAGAATGACTCAGTTGTTTACAATACAGACATGTCTGCAATAGTTCTATTTCCAAAATGTCTCGGTGTGTGCAGTGCGGAGTGTGTGTGTGCACAGAGAAGAGTGTGTGCAGAGAGGTGCTTGTGTGTGTGTGTGAGTTCAGACATGAACACGGAGACTCTCTGAAACCCCTCCTGCAGCAGTATGGAGGCTGTCAGTGGGAGGGCACGGTGGATTAAAGCATACCTGTGCACTTTGGAGCGAAATCTCCACAGCCACTTCAAAGACCATTTTTCAAAGACGGCTATTTTCACTCGTGTGTCTCGACACGATCGACAGAGCAGTCTGGTCATGTCCTCATGTCTTATACAACCTCTATAGCTTTCTATAGCTCTCCAAAATGTTTTTATGTCTCAAGATGTTTAGTCCTCAAGGACATTTTGGAGCATCTACTGAGAATAAATCAAAGCGAATATGTGCGTTTGTGTGTTTTATAATCCTGAAATTGTGTCTGCGAGGTTCTTCATCACTACTAGTGAACGGTATGACATTTAAACCTCTGTGTGTGATGTCACGTATGAGAAGAAGAAGAAGGCTGTTTGGAACAAACCATTCCTAAATAGAGGGGGGAGAGCTGATACACCACGTTTGAGTTGTGTCCTTACATGCTAGAGCACAGCTCTGGACGTCAACAGTGGTCATGTGACCATATATCATGCTGTGAGTGTGACATCACAGAATTCAGAAGATCTGTAGAAGAACCTTGAATAAGTGGAGAAACACTGCACATTGATTAAGAAAGAAACATTTAGGCAAAAAATAATAAGGAATAAAACGTGAGGGTGTGCTGTTAAAGGAAAATGATGAACGAAGGGGGTGGTGGTGAAGCGGAGTTACTCTTAGCACCCCAGAGTTGATTATTTTCCAATAACAGCATGTCCTGAAGTGCTTTATTCCTCTCATGCCAACAATTAAAATTTTTTTTTACTTAGTAAAGAAGGCCTGTGATTTGCCTTGCAGCCAGAACTACTTTCAGAGCTGCTGTTGTGGAAGGAATTCCACACATACAGACCTTGCTGTTATATGAAAATAATGTACACTGGGGTGGTGTAACGCGTCAAAACACACAAGCGGTGCAATAAGCGCATTATTGTCATATAACAGCATGGTCTGGAGTGTGTTATTCCGCTTATACCACAGCGATTTGCCAATGATTACAATGTTTAATTTATTAATGAGCAACATGTCACGCATTTTAAAGGGTTAGAGTTAGATTTAATATTGTTGAATACCCGAGAGACAAGCTAAAATCCATCTGTTATTAGTCTTACACTGTCGATCATACAAATCCCTGTGTATGAGCTGTTACTATAGAAACAATAATGTATTAGAATGAGTGCATTAATTTATTAATTTTAACCTATCGTTCATGTTACAGCCAGAACTACTTTCCGAGCCGTGCTGTTATACGAATATAGAGTAATGCACACCTTCTGACCAATCAGATTTGAGCATTTAACAGCGCTGTGGTGTAAATGCACACAATGTTTCGTTTACTCCATATACTCTATAGTGGATCAGACAAAATATATTTGGTGTCTGACATTTGCTTCTTTTGCTCTGGGGCTAGATTTCATTTTTCAAGAGCTTTTCCTTGAATAACCCGACTATTTAGATCAAATCAGAACACAGAAAACAACAAAACATGGAGGGAGAAAGACAGATCTAGTTTTACTCCTATTAGGAATCACACTAGTGGGTCCTTGTCATTCAGAGACTGAGCATTGGGCATTTCTTCGAACTTGATCCAAATAATTCCCATTTCTGGCCACAAAAACAAATGTGGTTTGCATTAGTTCGTAATTATTTCAATAAAAACAGCAGCAGATGTTATGCAATGGAGAAAAGAAGAAATATGAATTACCACCCAGTGGAATAGACTCAAATAAAACAAGTTGTCAATAGAAT